TAGATAGTCTTGAAACCCCATTAACCAACCAGCTAACCTTAATGACCCTCGTGTAGTAGATAGTCTTGAAACCCCATTAACCAACCAACCAGCCTTAATGACCCTCGTGTAGTAGATAGTCTTGAAACCCCATTAACCAACCAACCAACCTTAATGACCCTCGTGTAGTAGATAGTCTTGAAACCCCATTAACCAACCAACCAACCTTAATGACCCTCGTGTAGAAGATAGTCTTGAAACCCCATTAACCAACCAACCAACCTTAATGACCCTCGTGTAGTAGATAGTCTTGAAACCCCATTAACCAACCAACCTTAAACCAAAAAAACCCTCTTCTAACGACCCTAAAACTACCGAACCACGTCATTCCAGGCGCCAGCACCCTGGGAGGAGTGCCAACAGGAGCTGGGCACTGCCCCAGAGCAGAGAGAGTGCCACGTACCCTGCTCCTTCGACTGTGTGGTAGGGCAGTGGTCGCCCTGGTCACCCTGTACAAGGCCCTGTGCCAGCCAGCTTCATGTCGGGTTTACACAAAGGAATACCACCATTATTGCTCCTCCTGGACCAGGTAAACTCTTAGAATGATTACTTTCATCAATTGAGAATGATCATTTATACCCTGTTTTCTCCAGTTAGAACGACCAGTCTCCTCCAGTGAGAATGACTAGTCTCCTCTGGTTAGAACGACCATTTAGAACGACCAGTCTCCTCCAGTGAGAATGACTAGTCTCCTCTGGTTAGAACGACCATTTAGAACGACCAGTCTCCTCCAGTGAGAATGACTAGTCTCCTCTGGTTAGAACGACCATTTAGAACGACCAGTCTCCACCAGTTAGAACGATCAGTCTCCTCCAGTTAGAACGACCAGTCTCATAATCAGAACAACCAGTTAGAACGAGCAGTCCCCTCCAGTTAGAACGACCAGTTTCCTTCAGGGAGAATGACTAGTCTCCTCTGGTTAGAACGACCATTTAGAACGACCAGTCTCCTATAATCAGAACAACCAGTTAGAACGAGCAGTCCCCTCCAGTTAGAACGACCAGTCTCCTCCAGTGAGAATGACTAGTCTCCTCTGGTTAGAACGACCATTTAGAACGACCAGTCTCCTCCAGTGAGAATGACTAGTCTCCTCTGGTTAGAACGACCATTTAGAACGACCAGTCTCCTATAATCAGAACAACCAGTTAGAACGAGCAGTCCCCTCCAGTTAGAACGACCAGTCTCCTCCAGTGAGAATGACTAGTCTCCTCTGGTTAGAACGACCATTTAGAACGACCAGTCTCCTCCAGTGAGAATGACTAGTCTCCTCTGGTTAGAACGACCAGTCTCCATCAGTTAGAACGATCAGTCTCCTCCAGTTAGAACGACCAGTCTCCTATAATCAGAACAACCAGTTAGAACGACCAGTCTCCTCTAGTTAGAACGACCATTCTCCTATAATCAGAACAACCAGTTAGAATGACCAGTCTCCTCCAGTTAGAACGACCTGTCTCCTATAATCAGAACAACCAGTTAGAACGAGCAGTCCCCTCCAGTTAGAACGACCAGTCTCCTCCAGTGAGAATGACTAGTCTCCACTGGTTAGAACGACCATTTAGAACGACCAGTCTCCTATAATCAGAACAACCAGTTAGAACGACCAGTCTCCTCCAGTTAGAACGACTAGACTTCCCTTTTTAGAATGGCCAGTTAGAACGACCAGTCTCCTCCAGTTAGAAAGACCAGCTAGAACGACCATTTACAAAGACCAGTTAGAAGGAGCAGTCTGCTAGCTTAATCACTACCACACTCAGCTCACACACTGACGTCCGGGGTTCGAATCTCCTCCTGTAGTACGGCTGCAAAAACATTAGGGACATGTGGGTCGCATCCTGGGTCAAAACCGACATCATTTGCGGGAAATGCTCAACATAACAAGTGACTTTCTATATAGTAGTATGTCATTGATGTCAACTATGGTCTGTATACCTTGTACAATATTACTGAACCTTGCTATCCACAGGGGGAACGCCGTGTCCTCCCCCAGACGAACTAACACAGGTTGAGACGTGTCGTGTGGAGCCGTGCGGGGGTGCGGCCTGGGTAGCTGCACCTTGGGGGAGGTGCGGCCTACCTGCCCGTGCCGCATGCGGCCCTGGGCGCCAGAGCCGCACCTTACACTGCAGAGACCACAAGAATAATACTGTGTCTACCTACAGGTGAGGTGGTGGTGGTAGTTGTTGTAGTGGTGGTAGTTGTTGTAGTGGTGATTTTACCTGGAGTTTACCTGGAGAGTTCCGGGGTCAACGCCTCCCCGCGCCCGGTACTGTGACCAGGCCAGGTAGTTGCTATTGGGGTAGTTGCTTGCTATGGTGGTCAGTTGCTTGTAACTGGTGGTAGATATTGTTGATCAAGGTGGAGTGTTGTAGTGGTGGTAGTTGTTGTAATGGTGGTAGTTGTATGGTAATGTGTAGTTGCTGGATAGGGGTACTGGTAAAAGGGTAGTTGTGGTGATGTGGTCAGTCGGTAATCAATGAAGTTGTGTAATAGTTGTAGTTGTATAAGTTGTAGTAGTGGTAATAGTGTAGTTGTGTATAGTTGTAGTGGTATTAGTTGTAGTGGTGGTATAGGTTGTAGTTGTGGTAATAGTTGTAGTTGGTGGTAATAGTTGTATGTAGTGGTAATAGTTAAGTTGTGGTAATAGTTGTAGTTGTGTAATAGTGTGTAGTGGTAATGTAGTTGGGTATGTTGTAGTGGTAATTAGTTGTAGTTGTGGTAATAGTTGTAGTTGTGGTAATAGTTGTAGTGGTAATAGTTGTATGTGGTAATAGTTGTAGTTGTGGTAATAGTTGTAGTTGTGGTAATAGTTGTAGTGGTAATAGTTATAGTTGTGGTAATAGTTGTAGTAGTGGTAATAGTTGTAGTTGTGGTAATAGTTGTAGTGGTAATAGTTATAGTTGTGGTAATAGTTGTAGTTGTGGTAATAGTTGTAGTTGTGGTAATAGTGAGTGGTAAGTTATAGTTGTGGTAATAGTTGTAGTATGTGTAATAGTTGTAGTAGTGTAATAGTTGTAGTATGTTAAGTTGTGGTATTAGTTGTGGTATTAATAGTTGTAGTTGTGGTAATAGTTGTAGTTGTGGTAATAGTTGTAGGTATGTTAATAGTTGTAGTAGTGGTAATAGTTGTAGTAGTGGTAAATGAGTTGTAGTTGATAGTGGTGGTAATAGTTGTAGTTTGGTAATAGTTGTAGTTGTGGTAATAGTTGTAGTGTGGTAATAGTGTGTGTGGTAATAGTTGTAGTTGTGGTAATAGTTGTAGTGGTAATGTGTAGTTGTGGAATAGTTTAGTTGTGGTAATAGTTGTAGTTGTGGTAATAGTTGTAGTATGGTAATAGTTATAAGTTGTGGTAATAGTTGTAGTTAGTGGTAATATGTATGTATGTTATAGTTGTGTAATAGTTGTGTATGGTAATAGTTGTAGTTGTGGTAATAGTTGTAGGTATGTTGTTTGGTAATAGTTGTGTTAGTTGTGGTAATAGTTGTAGTTGTGGTAATAGTTGAGTGTGGTTAATTAGTGTTATAGTTAGTAGTGGTAATAGTTGTAGTAGTGGTAATAGTTGTAGTTGTGGTAATAGTTGTAGTTGTGGTAATAGTTGTAGTTGTGGTAATAGTTGTAGTACTGTTAATAGTTGTAGAAGTGGTAATAGTTGTAGTAGTGGTAATAGTTGTAGTTGTGGTAATAGTTCTATAGAACAAGCAACGTGAAGAGTGTCATCATGGGCTTGGCCTCCCTAGTTTTGAAGGTTCTCATTATCCATCCTGTCATTTTTCTGGCAGATGCGATTGCTACAATGTTATGGTCCTTGAAGGTGAGATCCTCCGACATGATCACTCCCAGGTCTTTGACGTTGGTGTTTCGCTCTATTTTGTGGCCAGAATTTGTTTTGTACTCTGATGAAGTTTTAATTTCCTCGTGTTTACCATATCTGAGTAATTGAAATTTCTCATCGTTGAACTTCATATTGTTTTCTGCAGCCCACTGAAAGATTTGGTTGATGTCCGCCTGGAGCCTTGCAGTGTCTGCAATGTCTACCTGGAGCCTTGCAGTGTCTGCAATGTCTGCCTGGAGCCTTGCAGTGTCTGCAATGTTTGCCTGGAGCCTTGCAGTGTCTGCAATGTCTACCTGGAGCCTTGCAGTGTCTGCAATGGAAGACACTGTCATGCAGATTCGGGTGTCATCTGCAAAGGAAGACACGGTGCTGTGGCTGACATCCTTGTCTATGTCAGATATGAGGATGAGAAACAAAATGGGAGCGAGTACTGTGCTTTGTGGAACACTGGGAGCCAGTACAGTGCCTTGTGGAACACTGGGAGCCATACAGTGCCTTGTGGAACACTGGGAGCCATACAGTGCCTTGTGGAACACTGGGAGCCAGTACAGTGCCTTGTGGAACACTGGGAGCCAGTACAGTGCCTTGTGGAACACTGGGAGCCAGTACAGTGCCTTGTGGAACACTGGGAGCCAGTACAGTGCCTTGTGGAACACTGGGAGCCAGTACAGGGGCCTTGTGGAACACTGGGAGCCAGTACAGTGCCTTGTGGAACACTGGGAGCCAGTACAGTGCCTTGTGGAACACTGGGAGCCAGTACAGTGCCTTGTGGAACACTGGGAGCCAGTACCGTGCCTTGTGGAACACTGGGAGCCAGTACAGTGCCTTGTGGAACAGAGCTTTTCACCGTAGCTGCATCGGACTTTACTCTGTTGACGACTACTCTCTGTGTTCTGTTTGTGAGGAAATTATAGATCCATCGACCGACTTTTCCTGTTATTCCTTTAGCACGCATTTTGTGCGCTATTACGCCATGGTCACACCTGTCGAAGGCTGTTGCAAAGTCTGTATATATTACATCTGCATTCTTTTTGTCTTCTAGTGCATCCAGGACCTTGTCATAGTGCTCCAGTAGCTGGGACAGACAGGAGTGACCTGCTCTACACCCGTGTTGCCCTGGGTTGTGTAACTGATGGGTATCTAGATGGGTGGTGATCTTGCTTCTTAGGACCCTTTCAAAGATTTTTATGATATGGGATGTTAGTGCTATCGGTCTGTAGTTCTTTGCTGTTCCTTTAATGTGGTAACAGTTGTAGTTGTGGTAATAGTCGTTGTTGAGGTAATAGTTGTAGTTGTGGTAGCTTAACTTTGAACTAATATTAGTGATCAATAATAAATACGTGGAATTATCATTTATATAATATTTAAAGGAGTAAGCTAGCCATGTTTCGCCCACTCATCCCCCCCAGGTGTTCTGGACTGAGTCGACCCTCGCTAGAGCGACCATGTGAAGTGCCATGTGGCACTGCTTGTACTGTGACCTCCTGGAGTGAGTGGTCACCTTGCCTGGCACCTGACCCCTGCCCTGTAGGTGAGTGACCTCCACCTGGCGACTCACCTGGTGGCCCACCTGGCGACTCACCTGGTGGCTCACCTGGTGACTCACCTGGCACCTGATCCCTGTCCTGTAGGTGAATGACCTCCACTTGGTGATTCACCTGGCACCTGACCCCTGTCCTGTAGGTGAGTGACCTCCACCTGGTGACTCACCTGGTGACTCACCTGGCACCTGACCCTGTCCTGCAGGTGAGTGACCCACTCACCTGGTGACTCACCTGGTGACTCACCTGGCACCTGACCCCTGTCCTGTAGGTGAGTGACCCACCCACCTGGTGACTCACCTGGCACCTGACCCCTGTCCTGTAGGTGAGTGACCCACCCACCTGGTGACTCACCTGGCACCTGACCCCTGTCCTGTAGGTGAGTGACCCACCCACCTGGTTACTCACCTGGTGACTCACCTGGCACCTGACCCCTGTCCTGTAGGTGAGTGACCCACCAACCTGGTGACTCATCTGGTGACTCACCTGCCACCTGACATCTGTCCTGTAGGTGAGTGACCTCCTCCTGGTGACTCACCTGGTGACATACCTTGTAACTCACCTGGTGACACACCTTGTGACTCACCTGGTGACACACCTTGTGACTCACCTGGTGACACACCTGGCACCTGGCCCCTGTCCTGTAGGTGAATAAGCCCCCACCTGGTGACTCACCTGATGACACACCTTGTGACTCACCTGATGACTCACCTGGTGACACACCTTGTGACTCACCTGGTGACCACCGGGGTGACACACCTTGGATTTCACCTGGTGACTCACCTGGTGACACACCTTGTGACTCACCTGGTGACTCACCTGGTGACACCTTGTGACTCACCTGATGACTCACCTGGTGACACACCTTGTGACTCACCTGGTGACTCACCTGGTGACACACCTTGTGACTCACCTGGTGACACACCTGGTGACACACCTTGTGACTCACCTGGTGACTCACCTGGTGAAACACCTTGTGATTCACCTGGTGACCACCTGGGACACCTTGTGACTCACCTGATGACTCCCTGGTGACACACCTTGTGATTCACCTGGTGACTCACCGGGGTGAACACCTTGTGAAAACACCTGGTGACACACCTTGTGACTCACCTGGTGACTCACCTGGTGACACACCTTGTGATTCACCTGGTGACTCACCTGGTGACACCTTGTGCCCTCACCTGATGACTCACCTGGTGACACACCTTGTGATTCACCTGGGGGACTCCCCTTTGGTGACACACCTTGGGGGACTCACCTGGTGACCACCTGGTGACAACCTTGTGACTCACCTGGTGACTCACCTGGTGACACACCTTGTGACTCACCTGGTGACACACCTGGTGACACACCTTGTGACTCACCTGGTGACACACCTTGTGACTCACCTGGTGACACACCTTGTGACTCACCTGGTGACTCACCTGGTGAGTAATATCTGATACTTAAATAAGTAATACGTATTTGTAAACATTTTTTTATTAATAATAAAAGTATTATTATTATTATTATTATTATTATTATTATTATTATTATTATTATTTTTATTATTATTATTAATCCTTCCCTTTCAATTCCTTTGAGAGTAATCCCTGCTGGCGGAACAATCTCCCTCCTGAAGGAGTAATCTCCCTCCTGAATATGTAATCCCTCCCTCCTGAAGGAGTAATCTCCCTCCTGAATATGTAATCCCTCCCTCCTGAAAGAGTAATCTCCCCCTGAAGGATAATCTCCCTCCTGAATATGTAATCCATCCCTCCTGAAAGAGTAATCTCCCTCCTGAAGGAGTAATCTCCCTCCTGAATATGTAATCCATCCCTCCTGAGGGAGTAATCTCCCTCCTGAAGGAGTAATCTCCCTCCTGAATATGTAATTCATCCCTCCTGAAGGAGTAATCTCCCTCCTGAAGGAGTACTCTCCCTCCTGAAGGAGTAATCTCCCTCCTGAAGGAGTAATCTCCCTCCTGAAGGAGTAATCTCCCTCCTGAATATGTAATCCCTCCCTCCTGAAGGAGTAATCTCCCTCCTGAATATGTAATCCCTCCCTCCTGAAAGAGTAATCTCCCTCCTGAAGGAGTAATCTCCCTCCTGAATATGTAATCCATCCCTCCTGAAGAAGTAATCTCCCTCCTGAAGGAGTAATCTCCCTCCTGAATATGTAATCCATCCCTCCTGAAGGAGTAATCTCCCTCCTGAAGGAGTAATCTCCCTCCTGAATATGTAATTCATCCCTCCTGAAGGAGTAATCTCCCTCCTGAAGGAGTAATCTCCCTCCTGAATATGTAATCCCTCCCTCTTGAAGGAGTAATCTCCTCCTGAAGGATTTAATCTCCCTTCTGATATGTAATCCCTCCTTCCTGAAGGAGTAATCTCCCTCCTGAAGGAGTAATCTCCCTCCTGAATATGTAATCCCTCCCTCCTGACGGAATAATCTCCCTCCTGAATATGTAATCCCTCCCTCCTGAAGAAGTAATCTCCCTCTTGACAGAGTAATCTTCCTCCCGAATATATAATCCCTCCCTCCTGAAGGAGTAATATCCCTCCTGATGGAGTAATCTCCCTTCTGAAGATGTAATCCCTCCCTCCTGAAAGAGTAATCTCCCTCCTGAAGGAGTAATCTCCCTCCTGATGGAGTAGTTTCCTTCCTGACGGAGTAATCTCCCTCCTGATGGAGAAGTTTCCTTCCCGACGGAGTAATCTCCCTCCTGATGGATTAATCTCCCTCCTGACGGAGTAATCTCCCTTCTGACGGAGTAATCTCCCTACTGATGGAGTAATCTCCCTCCTGACGGAGTAATCTCCCTCCTGACGGAGTAATCTCCCTCCTGACGGAGTAATCTCTCTCTCTCCCCTCAGATGGAGTCCTGGTATCGTCAACACAGCGTCGCTGGAGGAGGGTACTGGTGGAGGCTAGTGAGGGAGGGGCACCATGCCCACACCTGGAGGAGGAGAGAGGTTGTGCTCAAGCTCTGGTCACCTGTAAGAGTCACTACTGGCGTGTAGGACCTTGGGCACCTTGTACCCTGGCTGATGACGTGGAGTGTGGCACTGGGTATAGGGTCAGACGTGAGTGCCAGGTGTTCTGTGGGTTCTGTTGTGTTCAGTGTGTTCCATGTGTTTGTGTTGTGTGTTCTCTGTTATAATATATATATATAATATATATATATATATATATTATTATAAAATATATAATATAAATATATATATATATAATTTTTATATAAATAATATATTATAATATATATATATTTTATTGTGGATTAGTTGTGAACTGTAACAGCCATGATACTGGGTATTACCCACTAACCTGGTCTTCCCTCCTGCAGGAGTAGAGTGCGTAAACGCTGCAGGAGAAGTGACAGAGCCAACGCAGTGCTTGCTGGGGGAGCACATAGTGCCAGAGAGCAGCGTGGAATGCCAGGTGTCATGCAGGGAGGCGTGTGTCACCTCCACCTGGACTGCCTGGAGTGCCTGCCCCAGGCACCCGCCCTGTGGCACCGCTTCCCTCAGGACACGGCAGCTCCTGGGTAAGAGGACTGGTGATGTTTCGCCCTGGGCTCGGCTCTGTGGCGAGGGCGGGACGAAACATTGGTGGCGGTTGATGTTTCGCCCAAGATTGAGATCTGATATGGGGCGTAACATGTCGATCGATACTTCACCCAGTATTCAGATCTATCACAGGGCTGAAACATGCAGGTGGCAAAGTTTCGCCCAGGATTGAGATCTGTCGTGGGGGCAAAAAGTGTGGGGAGCAATGCTTCACCCAGGATTAAGCTCAGAACCATCATTAGAATGATGATTACACTTTCACTAATCATCCTAAGTTGATATCAAGGCATGATTTAGTATAATTACACCTTCGCTAATCATCCCAGGATGATACTAACTCATCATTCCACCTTACAGACGGAAGCCAGGACAACCCTGGGTGCCAGGGCATGGAACTAAGACAGAGTGAGGAGTGCCCCTGCCACAACTTCTATTCCACCCCTGCTAGCTCCTGGTCCTCCTGCCTGGTAGAGGGGGCAGCAGAGGGCAGCACAAGGAGCAGGGCACGCCTGGGTACAGCCAGGGGGTCTGTGCCTCCCGGGGAGGCTGGGTTGTGTGGTGTTGGGGTACGGTACAGAGCGTTACTCTGTACCAGAGATGATGGTGTCTTGGCTCACCCAAGGTGTGTGTCTCTGTGTTAACAACAGCCTTTAATGATCATTATAATCATTATTATTATTAGTAGTAGCAAGATTATTATTAAACCATACCCCTGGCCGGGATTGAACCCTCGGTCATAGAGTCTCAAAACTCCAGCCCGTCGCGTTAGCCACTAGACCAGCTAGCCACAATAAGATTCATCCAACTAGGTCTAGTGGCTAACGCGATGGGCTGGAGTTTTGAGACTCTATGACCGCGGGTTCAATCCCGGCCGGGGGTATGGTTTGTTTGCAATCGTGTCATTACGATTTCTTGAGTCAAGATTATTATTATTAGTAGTAATAGTAGTATGATTATTACTATTATTATTAGTAGTAGTAGTAGTATGATTATTACTATTATTATTATTATTAGTAGTAGTAGTATGATTATTATTATTATTATTGCAAAGTACGTATTAATAATGTCAGGTTTAATACGAGGAAGTGGAGCCTAGAAGAGTAAAACTTAAATAAAGTTTTGTGAGTTTAATAAAAAATGTAGAAAAATAAACCTTATTCTTTTATATATATATATATATATATATATATATATATATAATATATATATATATATATAATATATATATATATAAAATATAAAATATATATATATATATACAGTGGACCCCCGGTTAACGATTTTAATCCGTGCAAGAGGGCTCATCGTTATGCGAAATAATCGTTATGCGAATGAATTTTCCCCATAAGAAATAATGGAAATCAAATTAATCCGTGCAAGACGCCCAAAAGTATGAAAAAAATTTTTTTTTACCACATGAAATGTTAATTTTAATACACACAAACTGAAAAAGGCATGCACAATTAAATGACACTTACTTTTATTGAAGATCTGGTGATGATTGATGGGATGGGAGGAGGGGAGAGCATTATCTTCTTACTGTTTAGAAGGGGAATCCCCTTCCATTACGACTTGAGGTAGCAAGTCCTTTTCTGGGGTTACTTCCCTTCTTCTTTTAATGCCACTAGGACCAGCTTGAGAGTCACTGGACCTCTGTCGCACAAACAAATCTGTCCATAGAGCTCTGTACCTCCCGTTCCTTTACGATTTGTCTAAAATGGGCCACAACATTGTCATTGAAATAGTCACCAGCACGGCTTGCAACAGCTGTGTCAGGGTGATTTTCATCTATAAAGGTTTGCAGTTCAACCCACTGTGCACACATTTCCTTAATCTTTGAAGTAGGCACAATGGATTCCACAACTGGCATAGGCTTCTCAGGGTTAGCCCCAAACCCTTCAAAATCTTTCTTAATTTCCATACTAATTCTCACCCTTTTACCACAGGGTTGGCACTAGAAGCTTTCTTGGGCCCATGGTCACTTATTTTCCAGAAACAGCACCGAAAACACTGTAATAATACGAAATATTCCGAGTGTATGCTTGGATGTTACCGCGGAGGCTGGCTGGTAAACAATGGGACGGCCGGCACATGTGAGGCTGGCTGAGGGCACATTGGACGCGTCTCGGACGAAAATCGGTAAGCGGGTTTTTAATCGGTATGCGCGGCAAAAATTTTGCGATAAAAGTAATCGGTATGCGGAAAAATCGCTATGTGATGCCATCGTTATGCGGGGGTCCACTGTATATATATATATATATACAGCCTCTCCTCGCCTAATGATGGAATTCCGTTCCTAAGATCACGTCGGTAAACGAATTCGTCACTAAGTGAGGAGCATACTATAATGGTAGTGGGTTTGTGTCAGCCATATTTGATAATGTTTTAATGTCGCCTTTGCACCATTTATAACATTTCTGGTATATTTGTAATGTTTGTACAGTAGTGTACTGTATATTTTAATAAACAGAATAGAAGAAATCAACTCTAATATTCATTGTTTAGGTATGCATACTGGTCAAAGAGCCCGTCGTAAGTCCGAGTTGTCGGTAAATGAGTACGTCGCTAAGTGAGGAGAGGCTGTATTTAAATGTATTGATGGTTATATATCTCTAGGCCTTTCAGATTGTCTTGAGTCTTTTGTCGAGAGCTTTCAGAGGCACAAAGTTTTGTAATTCATTTTGATGTGTTGTAATGTGTTACAGGTCTTGTGGTCACAGTGGAGTGGAGGAGGAGCCTTGTATGGTGGAGTGCCCATCAGAGTGCCGAGTAGGACCCTGGGGTGCCTGGAGTGCTTGTAATGCTTCTTGTGGTGCTGGACTTCAACACCGGACTCGTGAGGTGTGTGTGTGTGTATTCACCTAAGTGTACTCACCTAATTGTGGTTGCAGGGGTCGAGACTCAGCTCCTGGCCCCGCCTCTTCACTGATCGCTACTGGGTCCTCTCTCTGCTTCCTGAGCTTTGTCATACCTCTTCTTAAAACTATGTATGGTTCCTGCCTCCACTACTTCACTTGCTAGGCTATTCCACTTCCTGACAACTCTATGACTGAAGAAATACTTCCTAACGTCCCTGTGACTCGTCTGAGTCTTCAGCTTCCACTTGTGACCCCTTGTCCCTGTGTCCCCTCTCTGGAACATCCTATCTCTGTCCACCTTGTCTATTCCCCGCAGTATCTTGTATGTCGTTATCATGTCTCCCCTGACCCTTCTGTCCTCCAGTGTCGTCAGTCCGATTTCCCTCAACCTTTCCTCGTACGACATTCCTCTGAGCTCTGGGACTAGCCTTGTTGCAAACCTTTGTACTTTCTCTAACTTCTTGACATGCTTGACCAGGTGTGGGTTCCAGACTGGTGCTGCATACTCCAGTATGGGCCTAACATACACAGTGTACAGCGTCTTGAACGATTCCTTATTAAGGTATCGGAACGCTATTCTCAGGTTTGCCAGGCGCTCGTATGCTGCAGCAGTTATTTGGTTGATGTGTGCCTCCGGTGATGTGTTCGGTGTTATGGTCACCCCAAGGTCTTTCTCCCTGGGTGAGGTCTGTAGTCTTTGTCCACCTAGCCTATACTCTGTCTGGGGTCTTCTTTGCCCCTCCCCAGTCTTCATGACTTTGCATTTGGCTGGATTGAATTCGAGAAGCCAGTTACTGGACCACATGTCCAGCCTCTCCAGGTCTCTTTGCAGTCCTGCCTCATCCTCATCCGATTTAATTCTTCTCATCAACTTCACATCATCTGGGAACAGGGACACTTTGGAGTCTTTTCCTTCCGTCATGTCGTTCAAATATATCAAAAATAGCACTGGTCCTAGAACTGACCCCTCTGGGACCCCGCTCGTCACAGGTGCCCACTGTGATACCTCTTCATGTACCATGACTCGTTGCTGCCTCCCTGTCAGGTATTCCCTGATCCATTGCAGTGCCCTCCCTGTTACATGTGCCTGATCCTCCAGCTTCTGCACTAATCTCTTGTGGGGAACTGTGTCAAAGGCCTTCCTGCAGTCTAGGAAAATGCAATCTACCCACCCCTCTCTCTCGTGTCTTACTTCTGTTACCTTGTCATAAAACTCCAGGAGGTTTGTGATACAGGATTTGCCTTCCATGAACCCATGCTGGTTTTCATTTATAATCTTGTTCCTTTCCAGGTGTTCGACCACTCTCCTCCTGATAATCTTCTCCATGACTTTGCACACAATACATGTCAGAGACACAGGTCTGTAGTTTAGCGCTTCATTTCTGTTTCCTTTCTTAAATATGGGGACTACATTAGCTATCTTCCATTTCTCAGGTAGTTGCCCAGTTTCAAGGGATGTGTTGAAGATTGTGGTTAGAGGCACACACAGCATCTCTGCTCCTTCTCTAAGGACCCATGGGGAGATGTTGTCCAGTCCCATCGCCTTTGAGGTGTGTGTGTGTGTGTGTGTGTGTGTGTGTACATATGTACTCACCTAATTGTACTCACCTAATTGTGGTTGAAGGGGTTGAGACTCAGCTCCTGGCCCTGCCTCTTCACTGACCATTACTGGGTCCTCCCTCTCCCTGCTCCATGAGCTTTATCATACCTCGTCTTAAAACTATGTATGGCTCCTGCCTCCACTACATCACTTGCCAGACTATTTCACTTCCTAACAACCTTGTGGCTGAATAAATACTTCCTAACATCCCTTTAACTCATCTGAGTCTTCAACTTCTAATTGTGACCCCTTGTTTCTGTGTCCCATCTCTGAAACATCCTGTCTCTGTCCACCTTATCTATTCCATGCAGTATTTTGTATGTCATTATCATGTCTCCCCTAACCCTCCTGTCCCCTTAGCTCTGGAACCAGCCTTGATGCAAACCTTTGCACTTTCTATAATTTCTTGACATGCTTGACCAGGTGTGGGTTCCAAACTGGTGCTCTGTGTGTGTGTGTGTGTGTGTACTCATCTAGTTGAGGTTGAGGTTGCAGGGGTCGAGTCCAAGCTCCTGGCCCCGCCTCTTCACTGATCGCTACTAGGTCCTCTCTCTCTCTGCTTCCTGAGCTGTATCATACCTCTTCTTAAAACTATGTATGGTTCCTGCCTCCACTACTTCACTTGCTAGGCTATTCCACTTCATGACAACTCTATGACTGAAGAAATACTTCCTAACGTCCCTGTGACTCGTCTGAGTCTTCAGCTTCCACTTGTGACCCCTTGTCCCTGTGTCCCCTCTCTGGAACATCCTATCTCTGTCCACCTTGTCTATTCCCCACAGTATCTTGTATGTCGTTATCATGTCTCCCCTGACCCTTCTGTCCTCCAGTGTGTGTGTGTACTCACCTATTTGTACTCACCTATTTGTGGTTGCAGGGGTCGAGTCACAGCTCCTGGCCCCGCCTCTTCGCTGATTGCTACTAGGTCCTCTCTCTCCCTGCCCCATGAGCTCTATCATACCTCGCCTTAAAACTATGTATGGTTCCTGCCTCCACCACATCACTTTCTAGGCTATTCCATGGCCTGACTACTCTATGACTGAAGAAATACTTCCTAACATCCCTTTGATTCATATGAGTCTTCAACTTCCAATTGTGACCTCTTGTGTCTGTGTCCCATCTCTGGAACATCCCGTCTTTGTCCACCTCGTCTATTCTGCGCAGTATTTTATATGTCGTTATCATGTCTCCCCTGACCCTCCTGGCTCCAGTGTCGTCAGGGGCCGATTTCCCTCAACCTTTCTTCATGGAACAATCCCCGTGTGTGTGTGTGTGGTGTGTGTGTGTGTGTGTGTGTGTGTGTGTGTGTGTGTGTGTGTGTTTGTGTGTGTGTTGTGTGTGTGTGTTGTGTGTGTTTGTGTGTGTGTTGTGTGTGTGTGTGTGTGTGTGTGTGTGTGTGTGTGTGTGTGTGTGTGTGTGTGTGTGTGTGTGTGTGCAGGGTGATTGTAAGTGATTCTCTGTCTTTCTCACTCTCACACACTCACACTTTCTCCCTCAGATCCAGGAGCAGAGTTTGTGGGGTGGACGACCCTGCCCTGAGACCAGCCAGAGTCGTGCTTGCTGGGGGTCGTGTAGTGCTCACTGGGTGCCAGGAGGATGGTCAGAGTGCCACATTATTAACAACAAAGACTGTGGCACTGGTCTCCAGACCAGGACTATCAGGTCACTATCACTACTATTATTACTACTACTACTACTTATAATAATAAATAATAATAATTATAATAATGAAAATTATATAATATCATTATTATTACTATTATTATTATTATTGCATGTAAGACAATCAGTTTCGATCCTAGGAAGTGGAGGACATGCCCAGTTCCTCAAATCAAGAGCCCTCTCACTAGCCCAAACTCTGGGGAAGTAGGATCGAGCCTGCAATGCAGGCTGTGGAGGTTTAGCGCTTCACGTTCCTGGTTAAAAGTTGATTTCTTTCTGCCATCTTATTCTCTTTAGGTGCATGATGGAGGCGTCAACAGGTCTACAAGAGGCTGTGTCCGACAGTGAGTGTGATGTATCACTTAGACCATTTACACAGCAGGACTGTCATGTGTCCTGTCCTGGAGAGTGTGTCCTGTCTACCTGGTCCCCCTGGTCTTCCTGTCCACAGGTAGAGTGTCTTAGTCACCCTGTAGACATATAGTGTCATAGTCACCCTGTAGACATATAGTGTCCTAGTCACCCTGTAGACATATAGTGTCATAGTCACCCTGTAGACATATAGTGTCCTAGTCACCCTGTAGACATATAGTGTCCTAGTCACCCTGTAGACATATAGTGTCCTAGTCACTCTGTAGACATGTAGTGTCCTAGTCACCCTGTAGACAGGTAGTGTCCTAGTCACCCTGTAGACAGGTAGTGTCAGTCACCCTGTAGACAAGTAGTGTCCTAGTCACTCTGTAAACAGGTAGTGTCAGTCACCCTTTAGACAGGTAATGTCCTAGTTATCCAGAATCAAAAAATGTCTACCCTTACAAACCAATAGACCACTCACTTATAATCAAGGTGTCCCACAGGGGTGTCCAGCTCACAGCCGCCAAACAAGAAGTCGCCAGGTGGTGCGTAAACCCGTGGGAAACCTTGCTACATGTCCACCCCTGAGGCAGGAAGAACCTTGTGTTGAGGGTGCCTCCTGTTGGCACTACTCCTGGCAGGTGGGCAACTGGACCTCCTGTGTCCCCTTGGGGCACTCCTCCTGTGGAGAAGGTGTCCGGAATCGTCCCATAACCTGTGTTCGATCAGGAGGCGTGGCTGTTCCTGAGTGGTAAGTTGTTCTGATTGGTGATCTCTGGTTAATTATACAAGTCAGTCATGTGATCAGTGAATTAATAAGGAGGCTGGGCAGGGGCTCACACTGTGGCCCTTGTACACAGCACCCCAATAGAAATAAGGGCCCCTATGGAAATAAGGGCCCCTATGGAAATAAGTCAGTCACTCAGTCTTGATAGAAGGTGGTCCGTACCTCAGTCTTGATAGAAGGTGGTCTGTACCTCAGTCTTGATAGAAGGTGGTCCATACCTCAGTCTTGATAGAAGGTGGTCCATACCTCAGTCTTGATAGAAGGTGGTCTGTACCTCAGTCTTGATAGAAGGTGGTCAGTACCTCAGTCTTTGATAGAAGGTGGTCCATACCTCAGTCTTGATAGAAAGTGGTTAGTGCCTCAGTCTTGATAGAAGGTGGTCAGTGCCTCAGTCTTGATAGAAGCTGGTCAGTACCTCAGTCTTGATAGAAGGTGGTCGGTACCTCAGTCTTAATAAGTGGTCAGGTATTGCACATGTGTTTTATTCATCAAAAAAGACACCCAGGTGTTGCACATGTGTTTATTCATCAGTAAAGACACCAAGTTGTTGTACATGTGTCTTATTCATCAATAAAGACACCCAGGTGTTACACATATGTCTTATTCATCAATTTTTCTGTATTGTATCCCCTTAATGTATCAACACGAGTGAGACACACACAATAAACACTAAAGTAGCCTACTTGTAAAACATCAGAATAGAGCGCTGCAGTAGGCCTACAGGCTTGTTTCAAACAAGATGTGTCCTTGTTTACACTAAGTGCTGACTGTTTCAACAGGATGTGTCCTCGTGAGTCCCGTCCCTCTCCAAAGGAAACCTGGTGCTACGTAGACTGTCCTATAGACTGTGAGGTCACCACCTGGACGACCTGGGACGACTCCAAGTGTTCCTGTGGTGAGAATCGTAAGTCTAAGTTGCTTCCTGTCTCACCCATTGTTTATTTTCCGAAGCCTTGGAGAAAACCCAAACAAGGACCCCAGTAGAAATAAGTCATTTTGTCTGACCTTTTCTGGGGATTATCTTAACTAATTTATATGTATGGTACTGTATTATATATGATAATTTGTGTAACTGTATTTATGTGTACCTGTAACTTAATAAACTTACAGTCTTGATAGACACTTGGCCTGTTGTGTGTGGTATGTTTGAATGAGTATATTCACCTATCTGTGGTTGCAGGGATCAATTCACAGCTCATGGCCCTGCTTCTTCGCTGGTCACTACTAGGTCCACTCTGTCTATGCTCCATGAGCTTTAATGTACCTCCTCTTAAAGCTTCTTAAAGCTCTGTGTGTACTCACCTAATTCACCTAATTGTACTCACCTAATTGTGGTTGCATGGGTCAAGACTCAACTCCTGGCCCCGTCTCTTCACTGACCGCTACTGGGTCCTCCCTCTCCCTGCTCCATGAGCTTTATCATGTGTGTGTGTGTGTGTGTATGAGGTAGTAGTAGCAGTCGTAGTAACAGGTATTCAATCTTCTTTAACAGCCGGAGAAATGACCCGACGTAGATTCCTGTCTGTGAACCCAAGCGAGAGTGGAAGACCATGCCCGAGCCAGCTACAACAGAGTCGTCCATGTCCTGCCATACCCTGCTACACCTGGGAGCGAGGACCCTGGTCACAGTGCCAATTACAGGCAAGTCTTTGCAATGAGTTAGTGCACAGTGGTTAGCTGAATGGGTCCAGGGATGGACCTGTGTAGTCAAAATGAAACAGAGTTACTGTCTCATTCCCACCTTTGGGTCGACAGAGCACCAGACGATGCCAAATTGTCTATATTCCCACAGGCAAACACTTGGAGTGGACTAAAACATAAAAAACAGGAAGAAATACAAAAAGGGGAAATAAGTAAAATTTGAGAGGAAAAAAACACATGGCTCAGTTCTCCCAATCAAGAATATATGTTGCCATCTCCTGTTTTTTTACATACATGTATTAGAAAAGGTGAAAGGAGATAAAGTTCAAGCAGAAGCAAGAGACACGGAATTTGGGTTAGAGCAGGAGAACCCAACAGGATTAATATAGGATAGTACAAAGTACAGTGGACCCCTGGTTTACGATATTGTTTCATTCCAGAAGTATGTTCAGGTGCCATTACTGAACAAATTTGTTCCCATAAGGAATATTGTGAATTAGATTAGTCCATTTCAGATCCCCAAACATACACGTACAAATGCACTTACATAAATACGTTTACATAATTGGTCACACTGGGAGGTGATCGTAACACGGGGGTCCAATGTATTAGTTAATATAGGATAGTACAAAGTATTAGTTAATATAGGATAGTACAAAGTATTAGTACTGGCTCTTAGGGTAGCTTGGCCGGGAAACTGAGGCAGTAGACCCTTAAAAAGGGTCAGTAGACCCCTTATCAGGGGTTGACTCTCCAGGGAAAGATATGATTAATATATGACCTGTCTTTGTAATACTCACTTGTGCTTTATAGTAATCAGTTTACATTAATGTTTTTCACTGATTTCATCATTGCTTAGTTAATCTTAAGTTAATTTTAAGCCAGCCCGTAATGCTATGCATAGTATAAGTGGCTTTGGCATGCTGCTCTTATCTGTATTTTTTTTTGTACCTCTGTAAGTGTGCTCAAATTATAAATAAATAAATAAATAAATAAATAAATAAATAAATATATATCACACAATTTAATTACTTTATACATGGCTCAAGGGGCTAGTGAAACATACCCAGATAAAACAAATTACAATTTAATGAACAATTTAATTACAGAGAAATCTGAAACTGGACAACAACAGAAAAATATTTAAAGCATCAATAATGAGAAACATTAAAATCACTGAAAATATAAGTACAGTTTTAAACATTATGATACCAGGACACACCTAATTATTTCTCACATATGACCATAGTCATGTAACAATTATGGCTCTCACCCCACAGGTTTCCAGGAAATTCTCTGGCTTTACCATACTATGTCTGAGCACTTCCTGGGCCATTACAGTGGACCCCCGGTTAACGATATTTTTTCACTCCATAAGTATGTTCAGGTGCCAGTACTGACCGAATTTATTCCCATAAGGAATATTGTGAAGTAGATTAGTCCATTTCAGACCCCCAAACATACACGTACAAACGCACTTACATAAATACACTTACATAATTGGTCGCATTCGGAGGTAATTGTTATGCGGGGGTCCACTGTATTTTTGTATCGCATAAAAAGAAATTAGAATTAGAATTTGAATTTAAGCAGATGTGTGGCGGCAGAGATTGTGGTTGACAGATAAAAGATTTATTTCTTTTACAGTGATAATAACAATAAATTGACAATTCAGCGACCACTGGAGATTTATTCGAATTGATTAATCCAGCAGATTCTGATTTCTTATGCAGTAGCCCCCCTGTATCGTCAGGGGACACATTCCAAGACCTACCACGGATACCCAAAACCACAGATAGTAGTAAACTCTATATTTAAGTAATTTTTTGTTTACATACATCCCTATGATAAAGTATAATTGATAAATTATGCACAATACATCGAGAATTAGCACTTTTTCACTGATGGGAAGCACTTCCTGACTTCTCTTAGGCTTGGAAGAACTGTCACCATCACTACTTTTGCACTTTGGTGTCATTATTAAACAAAATTAAGGGTTATTTTCGGGTCAGGGTAAACCGCGGATAACTGAAACCACGGAAACTGGATCTACGGATACGGCAGTCCTACTGTATTTATATCTGATATATTGAGTGATTTTAGAACTTGTCTTGGGTTCAAACCCTACCTGTTCCATGATATACCGAGTGATTATTGTGTAACTTAAACTCGACCAGAGCTACACAAAATGGAATGAGTTGAATGAGGATGTTGTGGAAGCAAACTCAACACACAACTTGCAACATCTGCCACATTGCTCTCCTATCCACCTTATCATATGCCTTTTCTAAATCCATAAATTCAGTGAAGGCTTCCTGACCTTTATCTAAATACTGTTCACTTATATGCTTCAGTGTAAATATTATATTGCATTTTATGAGGGACTAGTCCCAAATCTGCACGTGAAAATCACTCCCTACAAAAGCAAAAGACTTGGCAGAAGATACAACATCCCCCAATGATAAGCAGGGGTACCACAAGTACACTAAGAGAAAACACAATAAGTGTCAGGGGTCCAAGACTATTCAGCTTCCTCCCAGCATACATAAGGGGGATTACCAATAGATCCCAGGCTGTCTTCAAGACCCCTGGCTGTCTTCAAGACCCCTGGCTGTCTTCAAGACCCCTGGCTGTCTTCAAGACCCCTGGCTGTCTTCAAGACCCCTGGTTGTCTTCAAGAAGGTGCTGGACAGGCACCTAAAATCAGTACCTGACCAGCAGGGCTGCGGTTCATATGTCAGCTTGCAAGCGGACAGCAGTAATAGCCTGGTTAATCAGGCCCTGATCTACCATGAGGCCTGGTCATCATAGACCTGGCCACAGGAGCATTGACCCCCAAAACCCTCTCCAGGTATACTCTAGGTATTTTGTTGTATTATCAAACAAGGTATTGCATCAAATTGTATTCCAGTATTGGATGCTGCATCAGAGAACTTATGAATACAGGGACTCCTCACTTAACGACCGAGTTCCATTCCTAAGAGTAGGTCGGTAAGCAAATTGGTCATTAAATGAGGAGTCACCCCTTACTGATATTTCAAGCAAACTGTACTGGTAGTGGGTTTGTGTCAACCATCTTTAGATATTGTTTTAAAGTCGCCTTTGTATCATTTATAACATTATAAGTAAATTAAAAGTAGAACTAGGCAATAAAAAATAATAAAAAAGTAAAATGCACATACAGTACACTCATTATTTACCTTAAAATATTTTTAGTCTTAACTCTTAAACGGTCCAAACGTATATATACATTTTTTCAACATCTGAAAGTATGTAAAAAAATGTAAATCTTCTTTTTTGTTTTACATTTGAAAATGTGTAAAAAACTTTTATCTACTTTTTTTTTTGTTATATTTGAAAATATGTAAAAAAAAGTAGATCTACTTTTGTATCACTACGAATTTGAACGTCAATTTGTTTGGACCGTTTAAGGGTTAATGTACGGTGAGAGGCGCGTAGTATTTATTGTAGAAAGAACATGGAGAAGAAGAGGAAAGAATGGAAGAATTTTGAAGGGGTTTGCGTGTATGAACCAACCGTAATTAATACGTGTTTATTTACATTCTCGATGTCTCTCTCCTCTCTCTTGTTTACTCGCTCTCTCTATGATTAAACTCAGTGAACAAAGTAGATTGATGGTAGTGATAATTGCTCTGGGGCACTTTAAATGTCACATATTTCATGTAGGTTTGGTAGCTTGCCCAGCTACCAAACCTATAGGAAATATGACATTTAAAGCACCCCAGAGCAATTGTTATTATTAATATTATAATTATTATTACCATCAATATATCTTGTTCACTGAATTTAATCATTACTAACACCTACCCTTAGTTGAAATTGTAAATGAGAGAGAAGCCAAGAATGTAAACAGACAAATACAGTAACTAACCCCTTTACAGTGAATTTCTTTTGAACATCTATTCTTTTTTCTTCTTCCTCTTCTAAGTGCTGCTGCACTTCCAACTCGGTCTTGTACTATAGGGTGCACAAAAAGTATAAATTTATTGATGAAATATGTAGTATTGGAGGAACGCTTCCATGCTAGATGCCAGTGCTGCCTGTATTCCATGACCCAAGTTCCTACAGCTTACCATATGACTGTGGGTCATAGAAACTGGTTGTAGTCAAGCAGTCGTTAAACAGGTGTCGTTATTGAAGTTACTCTGTAACAAGAGGGTTATGTTCCCAAAAATCAGGTTAAGTAAGCGCTAAAGAATTTAGTGGGATAAGTAATGGTTACGTTCACACAAATGTTAAAATAAAGAATTTATTAGTGTAATATCAAATACAAATACAAATAATTTATATCTGTTCTGCAGTATACAGATAATATAGTTTATATGTAATAAAATATTGTTAGGCTCAAACGAAATCCACTAACATTAGGTGCATTTCGTTGAATGTGAGGGAAAGGTTGATATGGCTCTGTACAATAACTGTAGAAAATATTAACCCCCACCATCATCAATCACTATCATCTCCTACTGTTGCTACCTGCCACCATTATCCATTTTTAACTCATTATTATTGTGATTTTTTTTTTGTCAGCAGGGCGGGAGTTGTGGCCATGGATACGTTGAGAGGAAGGTCTCATGTGTAGGGCCATGGGGCCAGACTGTGGATCCACATTTGTGTCTGGCCCTCGTCCATGTTGGTGGCCACACATGGCCCTACCTGGCCAGGGCCCTTGACCTCAACACAAGGGTGAGAGCCACTCAATATCCTAAATAGCATTTCCTCACTTAATGATGGAGTTCCATTCCCAAGACCATATCAGTAAACAAATTCATAGCTAAGTAAGAAGCAAACCATAATGGTAGTGGGTTTGTGTCAACCATCTTTGATGCTGTTTTAAGGTCAATTTTGCACCATTTATAGCATTTCTGGTGTATTTTTAAATGTTTATGCAGTAGTTTACTATACTATATTGTAATAAACAGAGTAGAGGAAATCAGCTTTAATATACATTATTTAAGTACGCATGCTGGCCAAGAGCCTGTCATAAGTCCAAGTTGTCAGTAAACGAGTAAGTCACTAAGTGAGGAGAAGCTGTACATAAGTATATATATAATTTTTCTAAATAAGTAACTGAACAAATTCACAAATAATACACACACTGGAGAGGGAAAGTTAGACAACATTTCAGTCCATTCTGAACCATTATCAGGTGGCTACTAAGAGAGAAAACTAGGAATAAAGTGGAAGAAAAATCTATAAAGACGGGAAGAAAATTTAGAAGAGACAACAGTTCTGAGGACCCAAGAATGTTATCTGATGTTTTCTTTACTAAGTGTAGGTTAGTTGTGAATTGTTGCAGCCAGGGTATTGTGTGTTAGTTGTGAATTGTTGTAGCCAGGGTATTGTGTGTTAGTTGTGAATTGTTGTAGCCAGGGTATTGTGTGTTAGTTGTGAATTGTTGCAGCCAGGGTATTGTGTGTTAGTTGTGAATTGTTGCAGCCAGGGTATTGAAGGTTAGTTGTAAATTGTTGTAGCCAGGGTATTGTATGTTAGTTGTGAATTATTGCAGCCAGGGTATTGTGTGTTAGTTGTGAATTATTGCAGCCAGGGTATTGTAGGTTAGTTGTAAATTGTTGCAGCCAGGGTATTGTGGGTTATTTGTGAATTGTTGCAGCCAGGGTATTGTGGGTTAATTATGAATTGTTCAAGCTAGAGTACTATGGGTAATTGTAAATAGTTCTAGCCACAGTATTGTCAATTCCATTCTTCTGAAGTGAACTTATATCTACAGGATGGGTGTTATGTACCATGTGAAGGAGACTGTGAGTTAACTGAGTGGGCTTCGTGGTCCCACTGTCACAGAGATTGTTCCAGAGGACACCAAGGTAAGTTCCTGTCTTCTGTGAGGTTAATTTTGAAACTTGGTGGTGTTGTCTTTGTACTGACCAGACGGAGGATCGAGTCCCTATTACTCCTTGTGTGGAATACTTCATACAAGACGACCCACTTATATAGCAGGTTAGGTTCTGGGCTACTGCTGTAAAGTGAAAATAACATGAGCTAGCTGGGATTATCGAAAGTGGTGGATATACAGGTCGGCCATCACTAATCCGGCATCATTGGGATCTGTAGTGAGCCGGATTAATGAGTTTGCTGGATTACAGAGTGATTAGGCTAGAATACACTTAATTAACCTATCAGTAAAGACTCTGCTACATCTTCCTCATTTTCATCACTGCTTTCTCCTCCACTGGCTTCCTACTGTGGATTTACAACCATCTGCACAATTTCTGAGTCAGTATAATGATGAAATTTGAGTCAGTATAATGATGAAACTTGAGTCAGTGTAATGATGAAATTTGAGTCAGTATAATGATGAAATTTGAGTCAGTATAATGATGAAATTTGAGTCAGTATAATGATGAAATTTAAAATTATGCTAGCCGAACTTAGTACAGGAGGGCCCCGCTTTACGGCGTTTCACTTTACGGCGTTCCGCTAATACGGACATTTCAAATTATGACCAAAACTCGCTATACGGCTCCCCCCACCTGTCTTTCTAATACGGTCACAGCGGCCCACCGAGTTTGTTTACATTCTCCCTGAGCACATCTCCTTATTATGTCTGGAAACTTTCCAAAATTTCAAGTGTTTTAAAGTTATTTTATATTTTATATGTATTGTACTTGATAATTAAACTTGTGTACACCTGTACCTAAATAAACTTACACACTGTGCTGGCATGTAGGTACACATTAAAATCACTAAGAGTCTCTTTACTCTTGATGCAATAATAATAATAATAATAATAATAATAATTTATTTATTTATTTATTTATTTTATTTATTTATAATTTGAGCACACTTACAGAGGTACAAAAAAAAAATACAGATAACAGCAGCATGCCAAAGCCACTTATACTATGCATAGCATTACGGGCTGGCTTAAAATTAACTTAAGATTAACTAAGCAATGATGAAATCAGTGAAAAACATTAATGTAAACTGATTACTATAAAGCACAAGTGAGTATTACAAAGACAGGTCATATGGTTGCATGCATTGTTGTAAATTCAGTAGAATGGAGTGTTCTGTTAGGTAGTGTATTTAAAAAATAATAAAGTTAGATTGGGTTTTAGGTTTAACATTTATGTGATATAATTGTGAGAAACATTTAAGAGTAAGTGATCTTTGAGAAGAGACTTGAATTTATAAACAGGTAGTGTTTCTTTTATATTTACAGGTAATGAATTCCAGATTTTAGGGACTTTTATGTGCATTGAGTTTTTGCATAGCGTGAGATGGACACGAGGAATATCAAAGAGTGATCTGTGCCTTGTGTTATGGTCATGTGTTCTGTTGAGGTTGGCGAGGAGATGTTTGAGGGGAGGGTTAATATCAGAGTTGAGTGTTCTATGTATGTAATAGGTGCAGTAATAAGTATGGATGTTTTGTATGGTGAGTAGGTTGAGTGTATTGAATATTGGTGGAGTGTGCTGCCTATAGTGGGAATTTGTTATCATTCTAACTGCAGCCTTTTGTTGGGTAATTAGTGGTCTGAGATGGTTTACTTGTTGTTGAGCCCCATGCACAAATTCCATAGGTGAGATAGGGTAAATAAGAGAGTGATATAGGGCCAGGAGGGCTGACTGTGGAGCATAGTACCGTATCTTCGATAGTATGCCTACAGTCTTGGAAATTTTCTTAGAAATTTGTTGTATATGTGTATGAAATTTGAGTCTATTATCAAGGTGGATTCCTAAGAATTTTCCCTCTGTTAGCTTTGTGATAGGTGATCCATTTATCATTATGTTAAGAGGGACATCTGTAGCTCTGTTACCAAACTGAATGAAGTAGGTTTTGTCAATGTTTAGTGTAAGTTTGTTAGTACTCATCCAGGTAGATATTTTCTGTAATTCGGTATTTACAGTATTGGCTAGCGTGACTGGGCTCGGGTGGGAGAAGACGTATGTAGTGTCATCAGCAAATAGTGTGGGTTTGAGTAATTGAGAAGCATTTGGTAGGTCATTTATGTATAGGAGAAAGAGAAGAGGCCAAGGACACTTCCCTGTGGGACACCAACTGTAATTGGTTGTGCAGAAGAGTTTGCCCCATTTGCGTACACATATTGGCTTCTGTTGCTGAGGTATGACTTGAGGTAGTTGAGGGAGTGCCCTCTTATACCATAGTGTGACAATTTTACGTGGAGCAAGTCATGGTCAACTGTATCAAAAGCTTTACGTAAGTCAATGAAGATCCCCAGTGGGACTTCTTTTTTCTCTATTGCAGTGTATATATGTTCTAGCATGTGTATAATAGCATCATTAGTATTTTTATTAGGCCTGAATCCAAATTGGCAGGGGTTGAGTATGTTTTGGGAGATAAGGTAGGAGTAGATTCGTTTATGAATTAATTTTTCGAAGATTTTTGAGAGAGGGTGTAAGTTGGATATTGGCCTATAGTTATTCACTCTGTTTGGTCTCCTCCTTTGTGGATCGGGGTGACCCTTGCTATTTTGAGTACTGTAGGGAAGGTGGAGGATTCAATGGATTTGTTAAAGAGTGTTTGCAATGATTGGTGATAGCACTTGTGACACTTTTTTGTATATAAAGGGTGGTAAGGTATTTAAATCTCCTGCCTTGTTTTTTAGTGCGTTGATAATAAGGGAGACTTCGTATGGGTTAGTCGGAGCTAGGAACAGTGTGTTCGGGTAGTTACCGGTGAGGTAGTCATTGGTGGGTATCTGAGCTTGGGATTTTATTGGCAAGGTTTTGTCCTATAGTGGAGAAGAATCATTGAGTCTGTTTGCTGTTTCTGTTGGTGGAGTTGGGGTTTCATCTGATTTTGCTAATTTATTTCGCTATTTCGTGATATCTTTTTTGTTCCCAGAATTTCTGATAGGGTTTTTCCAGGTCTTTTTTATATCACCTCGTAAGTTGGATAATCTGTTCTCATAATACAATTTTTTTGCCCTTCTTATCAGGCTGGTTAGGATTGACGAGTAACGTTTTGTTTGGTCTCTGGTTATGTGACCCATTCTGTACTGTTTTTCATATTGGTGTTTTGTATTTATGGATTTGAGAATGCTGGGTGTTAGCCAGGGACTGTTCAGTCTCTTAGCTGTCATCTGCTTAGTTTTTTTAGGGCAGTGCTTGTTATAGAGGTATTGAGTCTTTTTTAGAAAATTATTAATACATTCGTCAATATCTGTATTGATTTCTAGCTCAGTGTGCCAGTCAATGTTTGCTACTGCTGTTGTGAAGTTATTAATGGCTGCCTCATTGTGAAGTCTGAAGGTGACTTTAGTAGTGTCTTGGGGTAATTTACCAAGAGTTTGTTATGAGGAAAGTAGGGTAGTGGTCTGTGGTATTATCTGTAATTATGCCTGATTTTAAAGGGGATATGGTGTTGGTCCAGATGTGGTCAAGTAGGGAAACACTAGTCTCTGTAACTCTTGTAGGTTTTGTTACTGTTGGTAGCAACATACAGTTACTCATTGTGTTTGTGAATTCAGTAACGTGTGGGTCCTGGTCTTGCAGGAGATTTATATTGAAGTCACCTGAGAGTAGTAAGTGAGCTTTGTTCATGCGTGCATCAGTTATCATACTTCCTAGGTTTTGACTAAATTGGCTAATGTTTGACTGTGGAACTCTGTAGATGTTTATCAATGTGAGAGGTTTTTGTAGGTATTTGGATTTGAATTTGGCTATTATATATTCCCCATGTTCATCTCTTGTGCAAGTATTAGTAATACATTCTAGTTGGTCTGAGTAGTATATGGCTGTGCCACCCCCTTGTTGGTCTGGCCTACAGTTGTGTATGGCTGTGTAACCAGGAATGGCATAGACATCTGTACTATCAGGCTTTAGCCAGGTTTCAGTTAGTGTAATGATGGACATATTGGCATGTAAGGAATTTAGTAATGCTATGAGGTCATCGTAATGCTTGCTTAAAGATCTGATATTGTAGTTAAAGATAGTTTATGTTGTTGTTGGCACTGAGAAGTGCCTTTGATTGTTCTGCAGTGTAGTAATTACAGTAACTGTTTGATTCATTTAAGTCATTAAATAAGAGGTTGGTATCTGGATCAATGCTTGTAATCATAAGATTTGTAGTGAATCTATAGTTAGAATTAAGTATAAAACAAAGTAAATAGTCTTAAGCTAAAAAATAGCACCTGAATTATTTAACAAATGTAAAATAATGAGCTAAGGTAGTTTTTTTTTTTTTTTTAAGCTAAATTAAAGGAGACAATATAAAAGGGACTAGTACAAATAAAGTGATGATCAAATAATGGAGCTTGGGAATATGATAGTAGGTAGTACTATAAAATAAATGAGCTTTGGAATATAATGGCAAAATTGTGAACTTGTTCTACTTTAGCACCTGAGAATAGCACCTTGATTATTTTAACAATTGTGAATGTATAAGCTAGGGTAGTTATATAAAGCTAAAATAAAGGAGAAAATATATAAGGGACTAAAATTAAGTAATGGTAAACAAAGTTAAATGGACAGATGGTCACTATGAAATAATATTGGTTTAGGAGTAAGATCTGATTTGTAATATTAGATAAATTGAGCAGTTTATTGCACAATAAAAGTAAAAAAAATGAGGTAGTTGGTACTAGCTAGCAAAAGATAGTTTTGGTACTTGCAAAAAAGTAATTGGAATATACACTAATTGCATACACAATGTAAAGTGACTAAAAAATAAGTAGTGATAAACAAAATTAAATGGAGAGGTAAGAAAAAATGAATATTATTAATTTGGAGTAAGATTTGACTTTTAATTTAAAATTATGAGCAATTAATAGCAGTAAGAAAGTTATAGAGTATTGGAGGTACTTGGCATTAGCTAGCGATGAAAAATAATAAAAATAATAATGTACAATATAATAGTAACGTACACTATATGCACCACACGTATATATGTATTAAGGGCACTTATCTAATCTGTTACAGAAATGTCAGCTTTTCTAAGGAAGGTAGAGAAATCATGTTCGTTTGAGATGGTATATTGTTGTCCTGTTGATGTTTTCCTTACTAGTATTTTCCCATCTCGCGTGAAACACTGATGTATTTTGTTTTCCTGTTTAAGTTTTCTCAGCCTGAACAGAAGGTTTTGACGTTTTTTTGTTAGACACTCATTTATGTACACTCCATTTTTCATTGTAATTGCTGATTTAATTAGGTCCTTTCTTTTATTGTACGAATGAAGTCGGATCATTATACTGTGTTTACTTCCTGGTTTTCCTAGCAAATGTGTTTCTTTGATTTCATTGTTTTGCACGATGACTTGTACGTGGTCCTGTATTATCCTGACAGCAGTTTCTTTGCACTGAGCTTGTGTTATGTCACTAGGAATGTGTGGACTGTTTATTATAACTGCATCAGACAACTTATCTTGTTCAGTTTTGTCGTCTTGGAAATCAAGGTATTCATTTAGTCGAGTGTGCATGTTCTGATTCCAGTCCTTGATTGCTTCTTCAACCTTCATATTTATTGTTGTTATTTGCTCAGTGTGACTGGCTATAGCTGCTTTTAGAGTATTTTCTGTGTCAACACTTCCCGATGTAATCTTCTCTTCAAGGTTTTGGATCTTATTCTCGAGGTTGGTTATCTTGGAATCTCGTCGCTCGAGTGCTGCTTTGATATCTTTGATTTCATTTTCTAGAGCAACGATGTAGTCCTTGATATTGTCAGGAATAATCGTACCTGAGTTATCATGGATGAATCCTTTGAAGGGAGTGGAGTTGGAGGGGGAGTCAGCCATGTTTGTTGTTGTTGTTGTTGTTGTTGTTCCCTGGGTGGCGTCGGTGAGGGGGGTTGATGATACACTGGCGTCCTGCTGGGTAGACAAGTTGAGTTCTAGGGTCCTTGCTGTTATTCTTTTATTACTGGTGTTGTGTCTTCTGCGATATCCTTTCATAGTATCACTGAAGTAGATACTGTGTAGCAATGGAGAAGGCTTGTTTTCTCGGAGCTTGGGTTAAGTGGTTGTCTGGCAGCGGAGGCAGTGTTTGGGTTAGCAGGGCTGTCTTCCTTAGATCTTCTAATTTTGTCAAGATTTGGGTTACATTCTTAGTATTCTTGGGTCATGTTGTGGTCTACTTGGGTTCATGTAGTTGAACTTTCACTTAGGCCATCACAAGTTTTGATGGGTGATGTTTTTTTGAGAAAGAAGAGCTGGTAGGATACCGTTGCTGCCGCTGCCGCTGCCGCTGTCCAATTAATAATAATAATAATAATAATAATAATAATAATAATAATAGTAATAATAATAGTAATAATAATAATCTCTTGGGCGCATTAATGTCGCATATTACGTTAATATAGACATTTCCCTTAATCTATCTATGATATTTTTTTCAAAATTATATAAGAAACACATTATGTAACACACAAACATGATACATGCACCCACAGTATAAAAATTTATACAAATATATACGAGATGTTTACCAAACGGTTTGTAGAAGTGTCGGAAGAATTACGTTTTCTCTAGCCCGTCACCTGTTACTAGGGATAACTGTAGAAAAATATTTCTTTCGTATGCCTTCACTTTATAGCTATAATTCTGTACTAACTTGTACACAGTGTAAGAGTATTTGTTTCGTGATTTAATTATTATAATAATAATAAAAATATTATAAGGTAAAAGTTTCACAAACTCTTACAAATGTACATGAATGAACTAAAACTGGACACGTATTAATACCGTCTATTTCGCCTGACCGAGTGATCGTCCACAACCTGTTCAGTTTGTTTACGCTGTCTGAGCTCGGTGTATCATTAAATGTTGTATATTACGTTAATATACACATTTTCATTAATCCATCCGTGATATTTTTTTCAAAATTATATAATAAACACGATACATAACATAAATACATAACAACATATGTGTAGAGAACCTAGGATAACCCAAAAAAGTCAGAGTGACTTACTTCCATTGCCTTCACTCAGAGCATCATTTCTTCTCAAAATGATGTTACATGAGAATGGGAGTGTTCTTCTTTATTTATTCTACCGTATCAATGTAGAGACAACCTGTACACAATGTAACTTGTACACAAACCAGACGTGTACACTGTTTTCAAAACTTACCTTTGCCTGGTTTGTTTACATAACTCTGCGCCTGTCCTCTCTCATGCACTCATTCTTTCTCTCTGGTATGGTAGCCTGGCTGACTACCATACATACCACACTTGATTTTTTACAGTAAATGCTACTCATCTCACCCTATATTTTAAGGTAAGTAATGAGTGAACTGTATATACATTTTATCGCTCTGGGATGCTTAAATATCATAGAATAGTATGTGTGGGTGGGGTGGCCTGGTATGGTAGCCTGGCTGACTACCATACATGCCACACATGATTTTTTACAATAAATACTACTCATCTCACCCTATATTTTAAGGTAAGTAATGAGTGAACTGTATATACATTTTATCGCTCTGGGATGCTTAAATATCATAGAATAGTATGTGTGGGTGGGGGTGGCCTGGTATGGTAGCCTGGCTGACACCATACATACCACACTTGATTTCTTACAATAAATACTACTTGTCTCACCCTAGATTAAGACTATAAATATTTTAAGGTAAGTAATGAGTGCACTATGTGTGTATTGTACTTTTTTATTGTTTTTTGATGCCTGGTTCTATTGCTAACATAATATATGTTAGTGTAAACTTGTTATCTAGTGTTTGTATGCATTTGTAAGTGGAAAAAAAGGGTGTTCCACTTTACGGCAGTTTCCGCTTTACTGCGGTAGCCTGGAACCTAACCCGCTGTATAAGTGGGGCCCTCCTGTACTGGATTACTGATGGAACCAGATAACTGATTGCCGGATTAGTGATGGCCAATCTGTACCAAGCAGCAGATTTTTAATGTGAATAAAGCCGCATCATTTTGGAAGAAGATGCCCTCTAGGACATTTATTGCTAATGAAGAGAAGACAGTGCCTGGATGCACTAACATACTAACACCCAAGTCTCCATCATCAAAATGAATAAAATTCATTGAAGAGTCAGTGGATGAAGATGTGCCATCTCCTTTTGACTTCCTAAAATAAATACTACTCATTACTCACTATGAATTAATGCAGAAATTATTTTAAGGTAAATAATGAATGTACTGTATATGAATTTTTCCTTTTATTGTTTTCTAGCACTAATTTTATTGCTCACTTAATATATGCTAGTAAAAATATGTCATCAAGCATTTATATGCATTGAAAAATAAAGAAATGGGTGACTCACTTTTTGGTGATTTTCAGTTTATGGCGGTAGCCCAGAACCTAATCTGCCGTATAATCAGGACCCTCCAATTATATGGCTCTCCGATTATAGAGATATGGACAGTGTAAACAAAGATTTAAATTTAAAGGATTCCTATGCTCCTTCAAGATAATTTAAAGGATTTCTGTGTTCCTTCAAGATAACTTAAAGGGATCCTATGCTTCTTCAAGATATACTTTGCTCCTGCAGGAGGTACCCAGGCCCGGTCCAGAGCAGTGCTGACTGAGGGGGTATCTGAGGGCCACCGGTCCTGTCCTGGACCACTGTGGGAGACACGGCCATGTCTGGCTGGTCCATGTTTCAGCTTCTCCTGGCAGGTCCATAATGGTACAGTTCAGTGTGTCCGCAGTGATGGTCTTCTTACTACTG